TATCCTTGGTGGGGGAGCTCTTAGACACAATAATCCAGGACAACGTTAATTGGCATTTAGACAAATGTGGAGGTCAGACGCAGAACGTGTGGTTGATATTGTGTCTAAGAACTTTCTAAAGCTGATTGACAACACACCACATAATAGACTTGTTAACAAAATTAAAACCTATGAGATTAAAGAGTCTGCAGCAGCACTGATGCAAAATGGACTAAGGACCAGAGAGTAGTGTTTGTATGTGTAGTAAAACCAAGTCTATGGAAGGCTTGCTGTCACCATCCTCTTCAAGATGCAGTTTATTAAACAATAACAACTAGTTGCAGGTTACATTGGTATGACAGACATTGTTACAGAGACTTTGAGGAGAATCAGATGTTAGGTCTCACAATTTGGCAATCATAAGCTATTATGCCACTCATCAATTTGATGTCATGATAGTGAGCACAGCTTAAAGCACTCCTCTTTATTAACCCTTTCAGAGTGCTTACACCCTTGTGTGACAGTGGTGAACGCTTATTTCAGACTGGAGGGAAGATATTTAGAAGTGATCCTCAAAGATCAGCATTAGAAGCAATACTCTTTTGATATATTTATATAAATTACCTAGGCTTCGAGGTATAGTTTCATAAGTTTGCATTTAATGCAAAATTCAGATGCGTAGTTGATAATGAGGAGCACATTATTCATGAAGACAGAGGCAGACTATAAAATGGGTAGTGACAGTTTAACATACAGAAACATGAACTGACTCAGTTTGCTGGGAAAGGTGAGGAGGGGCAACATAAACTAAATGATACAATTTTAAAGCAAGTGCAGCCACAGAGTGAGTCACCAGAGGAGAAGGTGAATGTACACCATTATTTAAATATGCCAGGATGATTTCAGAAGATTGTTAAGAAAGCACACCAACTCCTTGGCTTCTTTGCAATAGCAACAGTGCCTTGCATTTATATAACACTTTCACTGTAATCAAACATCCCAAAACACTTTATGAGAGATTTTGGAATATAATTCAATGCCAAACCACTGAAGGGAACATTAGGCTAGATAATGAAAAGCATCATTAAATGAATAGGTACAAAGGTATTTATTAAGGGAATTCAAAAAGAGGTAGAGAGGCAGTGAGATATAGGAAGGGATTCAGACACTTAGGAAATTAGCAACTGAGGGCAAAATTGGTCAAGTTCAAAGATCTGACAGTTTTTTATACTTCTATAGATTTATGTAAGTTTAGGCTGAGTTGCCTACGAACACCAACTCTACTGTAGTGCAGAGTAAAAACAAAGCTGACGCCATTCTTAAGTGACAGGAAGCAACTGCTTGTGTAAAGATGGAGCCGCAAGATGTAAAATGAGTTAGCCTGCATGACAGAATAAAATGTTTATTTTTTTCTCCAGAAACTTCTCCCTCTCTCCCACATCCCCCTGCAGGCCCCCAATAATTCCCAAGCATTCTTCCATTCCTATGCAAAAAGGAAGCAAACACAGAGAATGCTGGAGAAACTCAGCATCTATGGGGAGGGAAGCAGAGTTAACATTTCAAAACCATTATTCTTGATTCTCTCTTCTGTCCATCTTTATCAAATCTGCCATTATCACGTCTCTTTTCAAAAACCACCACTTGACATCTCTATCCTTATGAACTCCTCTTACTTTCAGTCACCTTCCTCTCCAAGGCCCCAATGTTCTTGAATGTGCTGTTAACTGCCAAATCTGTTCCCAGTTTTCTCAGAACTCCATGTTTGAATCCCCTCAGGTATCTATCTTTGTGTTCCATATATTATGTATATGCTGCGCCACTTCTTAGCACATTAACATATAACATCCTGTTTATTGTTGACCATTTGGTACTGCACTTTGGCTGATTTCATTCTTATCTATCCTGCAGGGCTCCTTCAGGTCTCCCACTCTGGCATCCTTAGCCTTCTTCTTTGTCTCATCTAAAATCTGTCCATGATGACATCAACTGAAATGTTTCAACAAGAGTTAAGCTGAGATGGTGGCAAATTTAGTTTCCAGATGTACAATGATGAACCAAAGCTCAATCTGACCATTGTTAACTACACTGCTTCTCTGACATTCAGTATGGGATATGCAGAAAGTTCTTCCAAGTAAATATCAGAAAGACCTTGTTTTCAAACCCTGTCTCAAATTCTGATCCCTAACTACTGACTCTATCCCTCTCCATGGCTATTCTCTGAGGCTGAACCTGACCTTTAGCAAATTCATATCTGACTTGCAGATAATCTATGACCCACAGATCTGATTTGATTTGATTTATTTATTGTCACATGTATTTTGTTATGGAATACAGTGAAAAGTGTTGTATATTGTCGCCACTCTCCAGCTCCATCATAAAACACAGATAAATAAACGAAAACATAGAATATAAAGGCAGAAGAATTTTAAATAAGTGTTCAAATTTACAGTCCTTCTTGTTAATTGCTCTGTCATGGGCCAAGTGGCCAGGCATGACCCCCTTTGCTGTGCTGCCGCTGGAATGAAAGTCACCACTCTTTGGCATCATCTCACCTCCAACGATGCCCTCGCCACTATGAGTACTTGCGAATGCAGATGCCACCGATGCCACTGGGTACAGCACTGGCCCAAACTCAACTCCGCTGCTGCCGTATGTCTGCTTCGCACCCACATCACCAATGCAGCAGCTGCTAATGCTGCAGGGTCTCATACTGGGCCCAAACTTATCTTCACTGCTGCTTCCATGAATCTGCACTGGGCACAGACACCGCTAGGAATTCAAAATCACCTCCGCTGCAGCAGCAATAAGTCGGCGCTTCCAAGTGCTGCACCATCACAGATGGTTGAATCGTTGATCTGTAAAGATACCATGGATTCCTTGTCATCAAGATTAATATGATCTTTGCTGCTTCCCCATTTCCTCTAAACCATAGGGCAACACACCCCACACCCACCAGCCAGCTCAACTCTCATTAGGATATTATTAACTCCTCTTCCAGCTACAATGAGGTTATTATTAACCATGTTGAGGTTATGATATATGATTTTTCAGCCTTTAATAGAGTATTACTAGCGGCTGCTATTTCAGCTGGTATTCAGTGAATATTAGCCCTTACTGCTGATGCTGACTTTGCTCTTTGTAACTGCTGTGCTCAATGTGGTGAGGCTATTATTGATCAATGTATCATCTATGATTATGTCATTGTGAATTGCTTGCACATTGTGACTAGTTTCCAACAATTTTTCCACCTGTTGATGTACTGCTGTTTCAGAGATAGTAGGAACTGCAAATGCTGGAGAATCTGAGATAACAAGGTGTAGAGCTGGATGAACACAGCAGGCCAAGCAGCATCAGAGGAGCAGGAAAGCTGACGTTAAGGGTCTAGGCCCGAAACGTCAGCTTTCCTGTTCCTTTGATACTGCTTGGCCTGTTGTGTTCATCCAGCTCTACACCTTGTTATCTCATGTACTGTTGTTAACTAGATACAACCTGAGGCACTAGGTACAACCTGAAGCTTAAAGATTCAGGATGTGACCCGTGTTCCCTAATCCTGATGAGCCTTGACTGTCATCTACAACTCCATCTTTGGGCTTTGACATTTAACCTGCAACTTAACGCTATCATCAATTCTAACATTGATGTTAACCCTGACATCAAACTCCAACCCTATTCCTTATTGTGACCCTGATCCTATCCTGGACCCTGACTTCCAGCTCATCTACCCAGGAATGTATTAATATTCATAGTCCTAGCCCTTGACTTATAAATTCAACCCCAAACCCAACCATTACTCGAACCCAAACCCAAAACTCAACCTTAACGCTAAACCATTTCTTTTCCTGGATAACTGCATTGTACTGACGACAGACTGGGGTCGGATCAGAAGCAAAAAGATTAATGTACCGAGCTCTACACCAAGTGATCCACTTTATTTCGATGACTGAAGGCTATGTGGTCACTGATACAGTTGTTGTCTCAGTAAAACTGTCCACCAAGGCATACAAGATCACTAAATTATACAGGCCCATCATACCTCAGCTCTGCTGTTTACACTCAGCTTCCTCACAGGGTGGGATCAGATAATGCACCTGATGATGTGATCATCACTCAACCTTGATTCCCCCACCTTGCCACCATGGCTCAGCCCATCCTGATTGGAAAAGTTTTGGCTTTGTTCCCTGGCCTGTGCCAACCTGACCAATTTCACAATGATTGGAAATGTTGCAATTGGTCTCAGTGCCCCATGCTGACAGAACAGACAGTTCACTTGGGCTTTTGGCTTCTGGCTGCTTCCCAGAGATTATACAATTGACATGTGGGCTGAAGCAGGATTGGATGTAATGCCCCCTCCAGAGTCTAATAGCCCTGCACAAACTCACTGTCAAGGTTTACACATTATGAATGGTTCCATGAGCAAAGTACAGGAGGCGAACATGCCTTCACAAGGAGTTAATAATGTCAGAGGCTGATAATAGTAAAAAACTTAAAGATCCCCCCCCCCCCCCCCCACCCCCATCACAGTTTAACCAAGGCAAACATCTGGTCAATGTTGAGAAATGTGATCATGTGAAGACTTCTCTCTTCAGGATCATCAGTCGTTGGTCTAATTGTTGTTGGTGTGATTTTACCATGCATAAAATGACTAAAGTACTAGCTTGGGGAAACAACAGTGACAGCTTTTCAAAGAATTTATGTGAAGCAGTTTAGGATGTTTCTGAGTAAATATACTTTCTCTCTCTCTTTCTCTGTCTCTCTGTTCCCTACTGCCCTCCCACTTTAACAGGTCTGCAGAAAGGCACATTGATAAAGCAAGAGGACAAGTGGGGTGAAAATCCCTGGGAATTCAAAATAGTTCCATGCAATTAAAAAAAGCAAGGAGCTATCCTGCCCTCTGTCAGCCTCACCCCCTCATCTCTTCATCAGCAAGCAGTTAAATTCAAAAGCCAATCCCTCTCATTTAATTACAGACGCCCTTAAGACATTCAGATAATTTGCTGTTGTTACTTTTGAGTTTAAACTAGAGGGTGCTCCTCCCACACAAGCAGCCTCCTGCTGGCCCCGTCTGAACCAGACAAACTGCACAGATTTACATGCAAAGGGATCGCAGCTCCTGTAGGTGAAGAAACACTCCAGCTCTCTCGCTTAACTGTGGGAGTCAGTTCAGACAACATGGGTCCTGAACTATATCTTCATTCAGATAGCTTTGCACTGTGCCTAGACTGCTTTGACTGAGCAATAAAGAGGGGAAGGTGAAAGAAAGAAAGAGACGAGAGAGAGAGAGAGAAGAGGGAAAGTGACCATGTTTGTGTAGAGGGATCAGACAACAGTCCAACCTGAGAGTAAGAATGAGCTTCCTGCTGTTAATTAGAAAACCTGTCACAGGACTTCTCTGGAACTGCTTCTTGCTGCAGTCAGTTTTTGGAAGTCTAACCACTGACAATGGGATCCATTCCAGTTTCATCCACGGGCGCCTAAAGAGCCAGGAGAAGCGGGAAATGCAGAGAGAAATCCTCTCGATCCTAGGTCTGCCTCACCGCCCCAGGCCCCACTTGCATGGCAAGCACAACTCGGCCCCCATGTTCATGCTGGACCTCTACAACTCCATGTTGATGGAGGAGGCAGGGGGATACTCGTATCCGTACAGGGCGCTCTTCACCACCCAGGGACCTCCGCTGGCCAGGCTACACGACAGCACCTTCCTCAGTGATGCCGACATGGTCATGAGCTTCGTCAACCTGGGTGAGTTGAGAACATTCCGTCCTTTCGAATCACATCTATTGAATCTAACGCTTCCGCGCTGGTTCTTTCACAGGCGCACGACTTGTTGCAGGCAGGTGTAACATTTCTAAACAAAACTTGGCATCTTGAGTAAGAATCCACTTCAGGGGGGATGCAAGCTGTTAAAACATCAAAGGCTCTCCTTGACTTGAAGGCCAGCACAGATGCTGAATCAAGATCGGCTAATTTATTTAGGAGCATATTGTACTCTTCCCCCTACCCTTCACCACTTGCCTCACTGTTTCATTTGTATTTTTACTTCTGCTGTTTGCTACTCACTCTTTCTACTAGCTAGGCAGTAGTCTTTACTTGTGGTTCTTACCCAGGTACCTGCTCTTCACCAGCCACTGGAAGCTACTGCCAGGCATGCTATTGATTTCGATTCCACCTCTCCCCTCTCTTTCGCATCCACCTGTATCTTCCTTCACTGCAAGCCCTACCTTCCTTTGTTACAGCAAGTATTTAACTTTCTGAACCTGATTAAAAGGAGCAGTAAGCAGACATATGTAGGCAGATTGAGCCATGGGAGCCTGCCAGTTCACAGTCTCCGCAGAAGCAGGCTTTAGCGGGGAACAGAGTAACAATCACGGAAATATAGACCTCTCTTTCAGATAATCAGCAAAAGGACAGCGTGATGTGGGAACATTTTTAAAATATGATCTGGAATGCACTGCCTGAAACTGTACTCGAAACATTTTCAACAGCAACTTTCAAAGAAACTTGGACAAATTGTTGAAAAGCAGAAATATACGACAGTGGACAGGGGAGTAGGACTAATCAGTAGGACTCTTTTAGAAAGTCCACAAAACACAATTGGCAGCAGTTTTATTCAATCGTTCAACCTCAACTTTGCATACAAAGAGTTAAGGAAGGAGTTGAAATGCTTCGGTAGTTACTGTAGGCTTGCTTGTTTTCACGCTGGCACAGTGTTGATGTTTATGCTGCAATTTAAGGGTTAAAATCTCAGCTCACAGATGCAGGGAAATGGTTCTCAGTGAAGTATTCACACTACACCAGTCTGTCTCCCCACTGTTCTGTTGTGTGAGGCTGTTGAACATGAAGCTCAGTTGATGCAGTCACCTGAATCAAACTGAGCAGCTGGGAGCATTTATGTTAACCCTTTTCATACTTAAGTATACTTCCTTTCTTTTTCCCCCTTTCCCCCTCTCCCAAATTCTTCTCTCCTGGCATACAACTCCATAGTCAATGGAAACCTTAGTAGGCTATCCATTCTTCATGTATAGAGCTTTATGTGATGCATATTGACCCATGGGGTGAAGGTTTCACTGATAAGTCAGATTGTGATCCTAACTGAAACTTCACACAACCAGTTTCTAGCAGGGTAGTGGTGGTGGTGACCAGAAATACAATCCGAAGCATTTTCTAACTCAGGAGAGCCAACAGCAGTTAGAGTCATAGAGTTATACAGCACAGAAACACACCCTTTGGTCCAACTCTTCCATGCCAACCATGCTAAATTATTCTTGTCCCATTTGCCAGCATTTGGCCCATATCCCTCTAAGCCCTTTCTATTCATACGCCCATCCAGATGCCTTCTAAATGTTGTACCAGCCTCCACCACTTCCTCTGGCAGCTCATTCCATAAATACACCACCCTCTGCATGAAAAAGTTGCCCCTCAGGTTCCTTTTAAATCTTTCCCCCCTTGCCTTAAACATATTCCCTCTAGTTCTGGACTTGCTTGCCCCGGAAAAAGACCTTGGCTAGTCACCATATCCACACCCCTCATGATTTTATAAACCTCTACAAGGTCACCCCTCAGCTTCTGATGCTCCAGGGGAAAATAGCCCCAGCCTATTCAGCCTCTCCCTATAACTCAAACACTCCAATTGCAGCAACATCCTTGTAAATCTTTTCTGCACCCTTTCAAGTTTAACAACATCTTTCCTATAGCAGGAAGACCAGAATTGGATGCAGTATTCCAATGTCCTGCACAGCCACAACATGATATCCCAACTCCTATACTCAACGCAATATACCCTCTACTTAATTCCTGACTGAGATTAAGTAACTTAGTTTCAGACCTAAACCCTACTTTAGAACAGTCTTTTACCCCACATCAACTGAGGATAATTAGACTGAAATCTATCTCCCCTTGCTCTCAGAATACTCTATGTATCTGCTCCAGAATTTGTGTCACTTGAGGTAGATTGTCATCTCATGAATCATTGAGAACGAGAGGCTGAGCTGTTTCCAATTAATCAGCAATGCCGGTTTTACACCCAGGCAGCCAGCGAAAAACCAGCAATGTACACAGCACATCTCTCAATGGAAAGCACATCACACATCCTGCATGTCCACAGTAACTTGGGCAGAAGCTCCATCCATGTTCTGTAACAGCAAAGTTATGAAGAAGCGGTGAGAACAGCCAAGGCGCCTCCGCAATAAACATTCTTTACGAATGTAGCGCAGCCTCAGGGACTGATTTATAACATTCAAACTTATGGGGGTCTAGATAGAGTGAAGAGGGTGAAAATATTCCCACTCATGAAAGGATTAGAAATGAAAAGGCACAAATATAAGGTAATTAGTGAAAGAAGCAAAAGTGACATAAGGAATAGCTTTTTCAACCTATGAATGGTTAGGGTCTGCAATGCACTGCTTGGAAGTGTTACAGAAGCATGTTCAAAAGGGAATTAGATGATTATTTGAAAAGTAGAACGTGCACGGTTACAGAAAGAAGACGTGAAAACAGCATGAGGTCAATTGTTTATTTTGGGCGTTGGTGTGGATATGATGGGCTGAAAGATCTCCTTCTGGACTGTAACAGTTCTGTGATACTGTAAATGGTCAAAATCGAAGAATAATTTTATGTCTACAGCTCAGAGAGTAATTGGGGAAAGCATAACCCAGTCACACTAATCAATAGCATTAAAGAGACTACAAGGTAGGTATACTGAATCCAGTATGATCAATAAGTGTCAGCATGCTAATTTTCACCCTTGATATACTTATGGCAGGGCTGGAAATCTATCCGGTTTCCCTAAACTTTTAGCTTGTGGTTCTGTGTTCAATCCAGGAACAAAACTAAGGCAACTTAACCCTGTGAACGGTTTTCACAGGAGCTCCGGCAGATGAGACACCCAGCATTCCTTGCCCAGGACCTGGTCCCAGGTTGATCTGTGTCCAGCTCACTGATTTCATCTAAAACAGATACAGGGTTCCTGAAAGGGGAAGACTGTCTAGGTGTACCCTGACCGTTTCCACCATCTCTCCTGACCTTTTGCAGGTTGTGGAGGTTGCAGGTTAATCCCTGATCCCCATCGAGCAATGAATAGGGATCAAATGCATCTGTCTATGACAGCATCAGTGAGAGGGACCACCACAAAGTCCTGTATTCACATTCAGGATACCCTACATTGTGTTCTGTGTCACTATCATCATGTTAAAAGGGGTAGACATCAAATAGATCTATCAACTCAAGACTGGGCACCCATAAGATTCTGTGAGCCATCAGCAGCATCAGAATCACACTCAAACACAATCTTCAGCCTCATGGGTGACATATTCCCCCACTCTACCATTATAATCAAGCCAGGGCATCAACCCTGATTCGATGAATAGGGGTGCAGAAGGGCATGCCAGGAGCAGCTCTAGGCATACCTAAAAATGAAGTGTCAACCTGGTGAAGCATCAAAACACTACTTGCATTCCAACAGTGCAAGCATCAAGTGATAGACAGGGCTAAGTGATTCCACCAATGGAACACATGCTTCCACATCCAGTCATGAATGTTGGTGGGCAATTAAATAATTCACTGGAACAGGAGTTTCTGCAAATATTTCAATCCTCAACAATGAGTCCCCAGCACCACAGACACCAGACTTCAGCCAAATTGATTCACTCTGCATCGTATTAAGAAATGGCTGAAAGGGCTGGATACTACAAAGGCTATGGGCCCTAACATCATTCTGGCAATAGTATTGAAGAGTGTACTCCAGAACATGCCATGTCCTCAGCCAAGGTGTCCATTATAGCTGCAAAACTGGTACCTATCCAACAATGAAAAGTTGCCCAGGTATGTCGCATACACAAAAATACAGAACTATTCCAACCCACCCGATTTCTTAGCCCAACAGACTAATCTCATTCACCAGTAAAGTGATGGAAGATATATCAATAGTCTTATCAAGCAGCACCTGCAAATCAATAACCTGCTCACTGAAACACAGTTTGGATTCTTCCAGGACCACTCAGATCCTGACCTCATTTCAGCTTTGATAAAAACATGGACAAATTGGCTGAACTCCAGAGGTGAGTGTGACTGCCTTTGATGTTAAGATTGTATTTGACAGAGTACAGCATCAAGGAGCCCTCACAAAACTAGCCAATGGGAATCAAGGGAAAACACTCCGCTGGTTTGAGTCAGGCCTGGCACATAGGAAAATGGTTGTGGCTGTTGGAGATCAGTCACTTCTGTTCCAGAACATCTCTGCAGGAGTTCCTCTAGGTAGTGTCCTAGGCCCAACCATCTTCAGCTGTTTCATTATTGACCTACTCTTGATCATAAGGTCAGAAGTGGGGATGTTCGCCAATAATTGCATACTGTTCAGCACCATTACAAATTGCAGTCTATGTCTAACCTGGACAATATCCTCATTTGTGCTTACAAGTGGTAAGTAACATTCACACTACTTAAGTGCAACAAACATTTCCAACAAGCATTCTTGCAGTGAGTAACTCACTTCCTGACTCTCTAAAGCCGGTCCACCATCTACAAGACATGAGTTAGGAGTGGGATGGAATACTCTCCACTTGCCTGGATGACTGCAGTTCCAACAACATTCAAGAAACTTGACATCATCCAAGACAAAGCAGCCCACTTGATTGGCACCATATCAACAAATATCAACTCTCTCTACAGCCAACGCTCAGTAGCAGTAGTGTGTACCATCTACAAGACGCACAGCAGAAATTCACCAAAGTCCCTTGGACAGCATT